TGGTATAATTGGGAAAAGCAAAAATGGACGACTTTTATAGGAGACTATGATGAGGAAATGGATAAGCTCCTTTGGGTTGACACTGAGACGAACGAGCCTGCTGTGATGTGGAGGCCGGGGTAGACCAACTGGCAGTAACAGGATCTGCGTGGAAGTATTTGGCTAGGAACTCTGATGAGCTCGATAAGCTTTGGAAAGATATTTTGGTGTTCGCCCGTATGAAGCCTGAGGACAAGGTGAACGTGACGAAGTATCTTCAATCTCGTAAGCTGGTTGTTGGTATGTGCGGTGATGGTGGTAATGACTGTGGTGCTCTCCGTGCTGCTCATGCTGGCATGGCTTTATCTGAGGCGGAGGCATCTATGGTATCACCATTCAGTTCAGGTCGTGATGGTCGCTCCCTCTTCACAGTTGTTGATATGATTCGTGAAGGTCGTGCGTGTCTTGCCACCAACATCGCGACTCACTCTTTCTTCATCGTATATGCGTTCATTCTCACTACTTCTCGAATTGTCGGTACTATCATAGGGAATCAAGTTCCAGGGGAATGGTTCTGGATATCCCAAGATGTCCTCATCAGCGTCATCATGGTGTGGACGATGACTCTGTCGGGTCCGGCAGCAAAACTCGGCGACTATCGCCCTAGTGGATCTCTCCTTGGTTGGAGAACCATTCTAATGTGTACTGTCCCTATCATCACTTTTTTCCTCACCCAAATTGTGGCACTTGCTTTCCTGTGGTCACCTTCTAACAGTGAGTGGTATAGCCGTGTTAACACTCTCGACCTCCAAGTGCCGCCACAAGAGTGGGCGAAAAAAGGTGACAATTACGATATGCCCGTCCAAGTCATCCTCTTGCTTACGACACTCAGCACACACGCCTACGTTTCCTCATATGGAGGAGCTTTCAGAAGGAGTGTACTCAGGAACTGGGCTCTGAATGTGATGTACATAATCGTCAACGTCTTGCTCTTCAGTCTACTTTGGGTTCAGCCAGGAGATCTCCCCTGTGTGTTCCGCATCAACTGCGACACATGTGCCTCTCTTGAAACAGCTGGTCTGCCTATCATCGAACAATACTCAGTGGGATCGGTTGGTGGTTGTTTCCTGGGCCCCCAGATCCATAAATATCAACAAGCAGTTCCTGAGCTTAGCAGTTGGTCTCCGCTACCCCAGGATGACTGCCGGCCCACCGGTCCGGGCTCCGATGTCGCTTTGCAACGCTATCCTTGGGATTCTCCAGCGATCTCCACGCTGGGATATTCTGGGCCCAACAATGTCTATCCAGTGTCATTCCGGGTTGTTATGACGGTAATCCTAGTTTTTTACATCATGATTCAACCACTGATGTTTGGTTTCGGGTTCTCTGGCTCGTATTGGATTAAGTTGTTGACTAGATTCGGAGCTGTGTAGGGACTTGATGCTGTTCGAGTGCTTGAACTGTTATCATTTTCGTCCGTAACTGTTATAGTCTCATCCATGCCACTTGAACAATTACTGTATTTCTTTTAAGTATTACCACGCTTCAATTATCGACATATTTCATAACCTTCGTATGGAATGCGAGCGTGAGTAGTCTGCTCTTGGGGTTGTTATCAGAGCCCTAAAGCCCATTCAGTAGTACTCGTTTCTATGAGCATATAGAATGTGTTGGGTAGGTAGTTAGTTAGTTGAGAGACGGCCGAATTACAACGGAATATGGTCGAAGTCCAAGGAGGTCTTTCAGACACCTCTATCCAACTCTCGGAGCATTAGGCATCCATTCCATGGGGGTTTTTCTCCTCGAGCACGATACGACCATAAAAAAACCCATAGACGCTGGGGATGGGAGAGGTATTGACCAGACCTCAAACCTGAAGTCCGAAAGCCGAGGTCTGGGTTCGGCAATACTGACCAGAGGATGAGTTAGCGAGCTGATATGAATAAGCTACCCGAGCATTAGTCACAGAGTCAAGTGCCTCATCTCTAGTTCCCCAGTATCAAGGGTAATGAGAAAAGAAAGTCCTTAAGCAACGCATAACCGTGCATAACATTAATAATGACATACACCACGTTGCGTTTCGAAATTATTCTGTCCAAACCTTCTTCAACCACCTCTTGTTTTGATGATCGATCAAGTCCAACGCTATTGTTCTATCGAAAATGATGCCGTTGAGATACCACTCCGAAGCATGTCCAGTACTCCCATTCCCTCACGTGTAGGTTTCTTGGCAAAGAACGCGATTCCATCGATTCATCCCTTGACCTTCTCCATTTATTGTGCTACTTCCTTATCTATGATGGCTTTGCAGCACGCTGTCCCGATCAGTTTCCAATCCGCGGTTCCCCGTCGCACCGAATGGCATTCCGGGAATGCAACCTACCTCGTCAATCAAGCACAAAGTCCCGAGCACTGCACTTGAGTTACCCCACCCGGACTGAAGTGCTTACCTGGGCTATGATCAGGCGATACTCGACCACAGAAAAATCATACCCGAAATCTCTAGCAGGTTGATTGGATCACCCCCACCTATTTTGTCATGGCAGTCTGCGTGATCCGACCACCTCTATGATAGAAAGCCGTAATTAAAGCGTCTATTGGTCTTTTCCCCAACCTGATATGGCATTCCTGAAGGGTATTTGGTCTTTAGTAACAGGCTGTTACTTCTGCAAACACAGGCCCGATCGCAGCTTCCCACCCAAAACTCGTCAACTCAACTCGTCCCGCCCAGCTGACTTCATCTGTGGCCATTGGACGGTCATCCTCATACAGCTGAGTATTGCCCGTCAAGATACAGACATCAGAAACCACCGGGTGGCAAAGGTTGGGCAAATTGAGCCAGCACGCTCAGTGTCGCTCACCAGCAACTGGTGGATGATAAAGTTAAGTGTCACTGAACCTCACAAATCGGACCGGTAGCAACAACAGCAAACAAACGAGACACACAGGCTGGAGTATAGCTCAGAGTAAATAGCTTCACGAGCGAGCGCATCACGGACCTGTGTTTGCACCACTCTACAATCCACCAGCTTCGTGTAGGGTAACATCCAACGCCGTGGTGACCACGGCGTGGTCCCTCGAGGATCATTGGCAATATCTGACGTGTCAAACTCGTACCAAGCGAGCATTCCCGTATGAACTTTCCCTCGCTTCCACGGTTTCTGATATATACATATCATGGAATCGGGGGATGATCTCGTGTGGGATCTCAAGTACTTACAAATCGGTCTAACTTAGGTCCTTACTTCGGAACGGGACATACGAATGGGCAGCCAAATGAGGAGGGGTCGCACGCCTACGGGGTCCTAGTTTAGCACTGAGGAGCATCGGTGAGAGATGTGCTGAGAGTGCCCACGAAGGGCTCCGTACCAGAAATGCTTCCCTCAGTCAACTTGGCTCATTTAGTGGATCCTCGTTCTTTGGAGCTAACTCCTGCGATGACTTTTCCTACCGAAGTACTTTCAGCGAGTTGAGATCTGTATGTCCCGTGCACGCATGCACAATGTGATATCAAACACTATTCTAATCGCTAGGTTAACGTCCCTAGAGATCAGCATTCATCTACTCCAACTTCCCACGCAACACACCACCACGAAGCCTTGGATACTCGTCGCTAATTATGAATCTCACCATCATTTAAACTTCATTGAATGAATAATCTGCCCATCTCGGTTTCTCCTTATTTCTTCACCTTCTTCGCTGCCGATCCCTTCATCGACACGCTGCTTCTCTTCCTACCACCAGTACTCGCGCCATCTGAATACGACGACATCAACAACCTCTCCACATCTCGAGTGAGCTCTTGCTTGCAAACCTCCCTGTGGTTAGCCAGGAAGCGGGTCCCCGGCGGAAAGTCAAATTCCATAGGAGATTTGTCAGGCGCCCGAGGATGAAACAACTAAGATTAATCGAGAGCTACTTTTTCTAGTTTCTTTCTTGAACGGATCGAATTTATCCTCCTTCTTTATCGCAGGTTTCGTAGTCTTGAAAAAGGTGTCCAACCGCATCTGCGTCTTCGCCTGTTTGCACTTCTTCAGCCTACTAATGTACCTAAGTATAAGAACCGTCACGACGACGAACATAAAAAAACGACATGACCGGGGTTCGAACCGGCGTCCTCTTCCTACTTCTCCACTCGATCTTCAGAGAACTGATTATCATCCACTAGGAACTTCTTCAGTCCTTCATAATCCGGCACCGGCCAATTCAAGTTCATATTCTCCCTCTCCACTGCAGGGGCATCGAGAAAATACTCTCTAACCTGCCAGGGCGCGCGCTAAATTCATCCATAATTTTTCAAATTCGACCGTCTTATAATCTCCTGCAGCCCAACTCTCTGGCACTGCGAACTTGGTCTTATCAATATGGTCAAGAACGCCCTCAATGCTCTTGTGCTCTACAATCAGCTTGAACGCGTTGTTAGGACCTACGAAAAAGTCGCGCGCCACGAAATTCCTCACCAAATCCATTAAGTACGCGCTCAACTTGGCACGATGCCGACATTTTCAAATACCCCAATGTTTTCGGACATAAAAAACAGTGTCGGGTTTTCGTGTCACCAAAAAAAACCTCCCCCTCACCGATGCCTCTGATAGTCTCCAGATAATCGCACCCGCACATGATGCAGAAATCAATGAACTGATCCATGCTGACGTCCAATTGCTCAAGTACAGTCGAAAGCGACATCTCATACACCTACAAACAAAAACTGCTTCGCTCCGCTAAGATGTATGAGGAGGTCTTCACCGGCTTAGTAGTTTTCCCAGCAGAACCTTGCTGGCCACTACCCAGCGTGTTGAACAGGTTCTTGATTTGGACGGGCGAGCCGAAAGTGAGAACCTATCAGCCGAGAGAGCATTCCATACCACTCCTCCGACAACTCCTAAGCGAGCCAGAGAGCCTCCTCACTTACGTCCATGTCGTCAGTGACAGCTCCATAGCACTTACCATACCTCACCAAAGCCGCACACGTCGCCTCGGCCTCCTCAGGGGCCTCGATAATACAGCATCCCATCATCGCTGACAAGGTGACCAGTGTGAAACGAGGAGCATCGCTCCGCTAGTTAATACTCAGCAACTTTTTCACGTCAGCATTCATCTGGAGTGTCACTCGCGTAGATCGATGGGCAGCTTTTCTGATGCCCTCGTCATCACCTGTAAGAGTATCTTCAGGTTTGCCGATTCAAGATACGAATTTAGGTCCAATGAATAACACATGCATGAT